TTGTTCTTTAGACAAATCGATATTCCAGGGTTATGAGAAACAAACGGTATTTAACTGAGAACAAACCTACAAAACAAACGGTATTTAACTGAGAACAAACCTAAAAACAAACGGTGTTTAATTGAAAACAAACCTAAAACAAACGGTGTTTAACTGAGAACAAACCTACAAAACAAACGGTATTTAACTGAGAACAAACTTAAAAACAAACGGTATTTAACTGAGAACAAACCTAAAAACAAACGGTGTTTAATTGAGAACAAACCTAAAAACAAACGGTGTTTAATTGAAAACAAACGGTGTTTAATTGAGAACAAACCTAAAAACAAACGGTGTTTAACTCAAAACAAACCTAAAAATAAACGGTGTTTAATTGAGAACAAACCTAAAAACAAACGGTATTTAACTGAAAACAAACCTAAAATCAAACGGTATTTAACTGAAAACAAACCTAAAAACAAACGGTGTTTAATTGAAAACCAACCTAAAAACAACTGTATTTAATTGAGAACAAACCTAAAACTAGTCTTTGTTTGTTTGTTTTAGAATTTTGCACAAAGCTTCACAGCAATTTTGAACTTATGATAGGCTAAATGGAAGATAATTCATTAACCGCCAACTCCAGGACGTTACCAAATAACGAGACTTGTCTTTTTCTATTATATTTCACTCACAAAGTGAGAAGTGCAACGGGACGTGAGCCATGAACCCTCAGATTAATCGTCCGAGCATGCTAACTGTTAGGCCTTACCCGGCCGAGGTTTTTAAAACAGCTACATAGGTAAACGTTCTATTATTAACAACTAACATTAAACGTTGAGTAAGGTTCGAACTAGGCCTTATTAGTTTCTCCCAGATTATATCGAACGTTACCTTTAACCAGTAAGGTTTACAAATTTAAGGTCAGGTCCAAAATGAAGATCTGTTAATTAGAGGATTTATCCAGCTACAAATCTCTCTCGGAAATCAAATCTGATGAAAAGAAAACAGGGCTAAAAACGTGGAGAATCCAACCACGTTGGAAACACCACTGGTGTAAACTCACTAACTGACACCTGACATCCGTCGTAGTGATTACGTCCTGCTAAAACAGCAGGTGTTGAGAATATTCTGTTTGTTGTACATGTAACCCATACGTTAGCACTTAATTTTAGTAGGTCTGTGTGAACATTCTGTTTATTGTACATGTAACCAATACGTTAACACTCAATTTTAGTAGGTCTGTGTAAATATTCTGTTTATTATACATGTAACCCATACCTTAACACTCAATTTTAGTAGGTCTGTATGAATATTCTGTTTATTGTACATGTAACCCATACGTTGACACTCAATTTTAGTAGGTCTGTGTAAATATTCTGTTTACTGTACATGTAACCCATACGTTAACACTTAATTTTAGTAGGTCTGTGTGAATATTCTGTTTATTGTACATGTAACCCATACGTTAGCACTTAATTTTAGTAGGTCTGTGTGAACATTCTGTTTATTGTACATGTAACCCATACGTTGACACTCAATTTTAGTAGGTCTGTGTGAACATTCTGTTTATTGTACATGTAACCAATATGTTAACACTCACTTTTAGTAAGTCTGTGTGAATATTCTGTTTATTGTACATGTAATCCATACGTTAACACTAAATTTTAGTAGGTCTGTGTGAATATTTTGTTTATTGTACGTGGCCTGGTGGTTAGCGCGCTCAACTTGCAAACGGCGTGTCGCGGTTTCGAATCCCACCAATATATACGCTCTACTTTTCAGCAGTGGGGGAACTTATAACGCTAACTAGTCAATCGTACTGTTCGAATAAAGTAACCAAAGAAGTGGTGGTAGGTGGCGTTGAATTCCATCTAGTACATCGCTTCTAAGTAAGGGACCGTTAGATAGCCCTCTACCAGTTTTTCGCGAAATTCAACAAACAAAGACACATGTTAGTTATTGTTATTTCTTTTAGAGCAAAGTCACATTCGACTATTTACTATATACACCACGAGAAATCGAACCCCACAGTTTACTGTTGTAAGTACGTAAACCTAGTACTGACTCACCGAGAGACAACATTTTAACACAAATATATATAGCTTCGTTTAACTGCACTTGTTCACGTCTACCGATAACCTCAAGGCTCTGTTTATTTGTTCACGTCTACAGATGACCTGAAAGCCCTGTTTATTTGTTCCTACCTACAGATGACCTCAAGGTTCTATTTATTTGTTTATGTCTACAGATGACCTCAAGGCTCTATTTATTTGTTCACGTCTACAGATGACCTCAAGGCTATGTTTATTTGTTCACGTCTACAGATGACTTCAAGGTTTTATTTATTTGTTCTCGTCTACAAATAACCTGGAGGCTCTATTCATTTGGTCGCGTCTACAGATGACCTCAATGTTCTGTTTATTTGTTCACGTCTACAGACGACTTCAAGGCTCTGTTTATTTATTAACGTCTACAGATGACCTCAAGGCGGTGTTTCTTTATTCACTTGTACAGATGACTTCAAGACTCTGTTTATTTGTTCACGTCTACAGATGACCTCAAGGCTATGTTTATTTGTTCACGTCTACAGATGACCTGAAAGCCCTGTTTATTTGCTCACGTCTACAGATGACCTCAAAGTCCTGTTTATTTGCTCACGTGTGCAGATGACCTCAAGGTCTTGTTTATTTGTTCACACCTACAGATGACCCTAAGGTCCTGTTTATTTGTGTTTTTAGCCAAAAGCTATACAGTGCTTTATATCCGAGTTTCGCCCATCCCAGTGATCGAGATCGAAACCCGAGTTTTGGTGTTACATGCTCTGAATCTTATCGGTATTGGGATGGGAGGAGATAGCGATGAGGAGAAATACGATCCAGCTATTCACTATAAAAGATTACTTAAAGAACTATACAGAATCCAAGAACTATACAGAATCCAAATATTTTGGAGACTCGATGATTCGTCTGGCTGAGGTCAAGATGAAATGTTGAAAAGAAATTGGGTATTGGTGAAATACCAGATGTGTACCACGTGTCGCTCGTAATGTAATTACTATTAGTCCACCTCATCCGAATTAAATGTTTAAAAACATTATCACCAGATTTGATCTATTTCATTCATATAAGCTGTTGACAATTTTACACAAACACACGCTGGGTCGAGTAGAACACTTGCATCTCTGTCCTAGTTATGTGTCGTACATAAAAACCAAGTCATAAATGTATCATAGCAACGCTACACCAGGCTCTCACCTACTTCTCCTGGTGGTGAATAAGGGAAGTACAGTTGAACTAGAACTATGAAAGTATTCCATATCTTTTTCTGCATGGTTGAAAGAATTAAGGTATACAGATACATTGTAGTAGCTCAGAGATGGTTTGGCTTCTATCGCCCCCTAGTGGCATCTTCATAAACTTAATAATTTCAGTGGGCTGATTTGTTTATTTTATAGTAATAGTGGTACAATATTTCTGTCACCAATTAATAGAATTGTGAAATTTGACTGTCACTCCTACAACTCACTCACAGTCCCAAAGTGCGGAGAGAGATTTGTTTTCGCAATAACGGGACTCGAACCTCGAACCTCAGCTACACAGTCCGGCACGCTGTTGAATGATTTGCACTCGCTCTGAGCTTAAAGGAAGATAGCAACAGCATCGACCGCCAAATCTTGGGCTAATTTAATCGAATAGTTTAACCCATACAAAGCATTTTTAAATTTTTTGATGGCATACAAAATAAATAATTAACTGTCTGATCTAAATAAAAAAACTCCACATAATATGATTGGACCAGCCATTTTCCACAAGAAGACAAGGCCACCTGTCGTAACATTTTGATCATACGTATTTTTTTAATATGATGAGAATAATTTTCAGAATATTTAAACCTCGTTCGAATAATTTCGCTTTTCAGCATCTGCTGCTTGTATTATAATAGTAAATATTATCTCACTATTCGTTTTATCGCTAAGAAAAACTTTCCTGGGTTATTTAGCATCATAATGTTTGAGTTAAAACGATCTAAAAAATTAACACTGACTGTGCCTAACAAAACTTTAAAAATAACCCGTTTCATAGAAAGGAAGAAAATCACAGATATCTGCAGTTTTCCGTGAGAAATAAGTAAAACTAGTGTTTTACTCTAAGTAAAACTATTGTTTTACTGTAACTAAAACTAGTGTTTTACTGTAACTAAAACTAGTGTTTTACTGTAAGTAAAACTAGTATTTTATTGTAACTAAAACTAGTGTTTTTACAGTAATTAAAACTATTGTTTTACAGTAACTAAAACTAGTGTTTTACAGTAAGTAAAACTAGTGTTTTTACTGTAACTAAAACTAGTGTTTTACTGTAAGTAAAACTAGTATTTTATTGTAACTAAAACTAGTGTTTTTACAGTAATTAAAACTATTGTTTTACAGTAACTAAAACTAGTGTTTTACAGTAAGTAAAACTAGTGTTTTTACTGTAAGTAAAACTAGTGTTTTTACTGTAATTAAAACCAGTGCTTTACAGTAAGTAAAATTAGTGTTTTTACTGTAACTAAAACTAGTGTTTTACAGTAAGTAAAACTAGTATTTTTGCTGTAATTAAAACTAGTGTTTTTACTGTAACTAAAATTAGTGTTTTACAGTAAGTAAAATTAGTGTTTTACAGTAAGTAATTATTCTTCATCCAATGATGCACCTGAGAATTTATATTTACCAGCTGGAATGGGTTGATTTCATATACATATGTATTGGGCATTGCACGTGGGCGGCCCAGAACAAGTCATAAGCTTTTGTTGTATTTCTTAAAACCCACGAGTTCATTTTTGATCCGTTCTAGCCCTCTGTGCGATGATTGTGTGTTTCAGGACTGTGATTTATAACGTCAGGTGGTGACATTACGTGACCCTTGATGTTGATTAGCGTATAAAAGAGAGCATTGTATGTGTACAAGTCTATTGTGCAGGTGTGGGTGGGTCGATACGTGGAACGAAAGATGATGCTCCGCTTCTTTATATAGTTGTTAATTTATTTTCCATTTTTTATTTTTGTCACCAGATGTCGCCCGACAGAAGACGCCACTAGCGGCAAGTATAAAATTTCCATCAGCAGACAGAAACAAGGTCTCTTCTTCTGTTGATCTTACATTGAACTCATCTTGGCACTGCAAGCCCCTCATCTTTCCAAACTCTAAACAAGACTTTCCTATGATGCATCCCTCAGCTATGCCACAGCCCATCTACCCTCGACCTCAATTGCCCCTGGCCCCCTTACCACTTCTTCCTGCTTACGCAATGGCAGGTTGTGGCCATCAGTTTGGTGCTTATCCTTTTCTGTATACTATTGGACAAATCAAACAAGAATCTACAAAAGACGTCGAAGTTCCAGGACTAACATCTCACCTTAACGTCCAACCAACAACATCCAATATTTCAAACGTTGCTAAACACAAAACCTCAAAGTTTGACTTTTCACGACTAGCAGAATCAGCGACATCTAAAGACGACGAGACTTTACCCACAGGAGTAGAGAAGCCAGTGGGTTCTCTTCCAGTGATAACGGGTCACTCCTTTCCATTTATTACTCCTTACTATAGCATCGGTCCTATAGGGTATAATTCAGGGTTTTATGAACGGAAGGGTTCCCGTGGTCGAGGGTCATCAAGACCAAAGAAGGAGTTCATCTGCAAGTACTGTCAACGTCGATTCACCAAATCCTACAACCTGTTAATCCACGAAAGGACACACACAGACGAAAGACCGTACACGTGTGACATTTGTCACAAAGCATTCCGGAGACAAGATCATCTGCGAGATCACAGGTAAGATGCCTTCTTTTCATGTTGTGTTTAGTTATCTGTCACAAAGCATTCCAAAGATAAGATAATCTGCTAGACCACAGGTAAAATGCTTTCATTTCATGTTGTGTTGAGCTGTCTGTCACAAAGTTTTCAGGAGATAATATCATCTGCTAGACCACAGGTAAGATGCTTTCATTTCATGTTGTGTTGAGCTGTCTGTCACAAAGTTTTCAGGAGATAATATCATCTGCTAGACCACAGGTAAGATGCTTTCATTTCATGTTGTGTTGAGCTGTCTGTCACAAAGTTTTCAGGAGATAATATCATCTGCTAGACCCAAGGTAAGATAC